GTTCAGAAATTACCAAAGAAAAATAAAATAAAACTGATGAAAGGTAATTGAAAAGAAACTAAATATTTTGTATAATAATAGAAATCGTGTAGACTTACTAGTAAAAAATATATTAGAAAAGCCGTTGGATTGTTGCCGAAGAAGAAGCGAGAAAACAAATTGAGATTCATGTCGTCTCTGTATTAAACGGTGGAAGAAGATTTCAACACTCTCACAAAAAGGATTCATGTCATCTCTGTATCATCTTCTTCTTCCTGTAACAGAGCTATCTCGCGATTGAAAGCCCTAAGAAGAGATCCATCGATCATCGTCTAATGGAGGAATCGACGGCTACTTCATCCTCTTCTTCGTCTCATTATCTCTCTATTTTCACGAATTACCCTCTGATTTCCGCCGTTCTAGCTTTCACCATCGCACAGCTCATCAAATTCTTCACCTCCTGGTACGTTCTTTGATCATAAGGTTTAGATTTTCGAGTTGCGATCTTTGATTTTTTTGAGAGAAGTTTTGTGTAGGTATAAGGAAAGGAGATGTGATCTGAAACGGCTTGTTGGGTCTGGAGGAATGCCTTCTTCACATTCAGCAACAGTTACAGCTCTTTCTCTAGCTGTTGGTTTACAAGAAGGATTTGGAGGATCACATTTCGCAATCGCTTTGACTCTCACATCAATTGTATGACTTAATTTGCGTTTTTTATCACTTGATTTTGGTTTCAGGAGATGATTGAATAGTGAGGGATTTCTGTGGCAGGTTATGTATGATGCAACTGGTGTAAGGTTACATGCTGGACGCCAAGCTGAGGTTTTTAATTTTGCTTTTGCTGTCACAAGCTGTGTTTTTTGTTCAGTACTGATTTTGGGTCTGCTTTTCATTTATAGGTTCTCAATCAGATTGTGTGTGAACTTCCTGCAGAGCATCCGCTCGCTGAAAGCAGACCCTTGCGTGAACTTCTCGGTCATACCCCTCTACAGGTAAGTAAATATAGTTTAGTCAGATCATACACAGCCTCTCCTTGTTGAAAATCGTGATCAGTCGGGAGGAACTTAGAAATGGTTTTCATGGTAGAGACTGATTGTGGTCAGTCGGTAACTGAGAGCATATCTTTTGGTGTCATCAGGTCGTTGCGGGTGGAATGCTTGGAATCGCCACAGCAATTGTTGGGTACTTAGCACCTTGATAGCAACTTAGTTAAAGCTCACCTTTTTTCTGTTCTTTTGTATGTTAAAGCAACTGGTACGTACCTGAAACAGCCCTGACAAGCAAATGGGGCTCTGGAGACTGGGTTTGACGCACCCGAG